CTCCTCTTTTAATAATTATTTTTTTAAAAATGATTTTAAGCTTGTCATTCATCCTAATATAATTGCATTTTGTCTGAAATGTTTCAGGATTTTTTAAATTGATGTACCTTGTGGCTATACCGAGCCTCTTTTTGTAATTGTTTTAATGTGTTCCAATAGTTGGGTGTTGATTACAAACTTCACATTATGTTGACTTTGAAGTGTTTCCTGACATTCTGAAATAACTGGTAATTATTTGTGGTCTCCAAAGAGTTGTTTTGTCCCTTTTTTACAATAAGTGAAAATAAGTCACCTTTAAATTCTAACATTCAGCGAACTGATTTTTTTTTCTTCTTCTGTCCAACACAAGATGTTGGCCTTGGTTAACAGGGCATTTTGTGTCCTGTCTGTTTTGAAAACTAAGCACCTCTAATTCAGTTTGGATGAAACTGTTCATTATTCTGCCAATAAGGCAAATGTTTTCTTTCTTTACTGCAACAATTATCGCTCACCGTATAGAACAAAAGACAAAATCTTTTCAGTTAATCTCTCCTGCCTTCCAGCTGTCCTTCCATTTTATTGATCTTTTTCCCCTTTTCATTTGTTTCAATCTATCTTTCCTTCAATTCTGAAGGAATATTCTTGATTTGAAAGATTAACTCTATTTCTCTCTCTCCACAGATACTGCCAGACCTGCTGGATTTTTCCAGCATTTCCTGTTTTTTTTATTGCTGTTCTACACACACACTCACACACAGAAAACGTCAGTTTATATGCAGGAAATAGGGAGGTGGGTGGGGTAGGGAGTAAACGATAGGATAGAGCCCAAAGACAGAGAAAGACAGTTGGACAGACAGAGGAGTTGCTAGTGATCAGGCTGGGAGGGTGAGTGGTTGTTAATGAGGACTGTTCGTGACTAACAACAGTGGGTGTGTAGTGGCAGGCTATGTGGTAACAAGGCCTGGTGTATGGAGTAGGGGGACTGGGACCTGGGAGAGTTTAGGCACTAAAATTATTGAACTCAATGTTGTCTGGAGGGCTGTAGGGTCCCCAGGTGGAAAATGAGGTGTTGTTCTTCCAGCTTGCATTGGGCTTCGCTGGAACACTGCAGCAAGCCAGAGACAGATGTTGGCTAGGGAGCAGGGTTGTCCGTTAAAGTGGCATGCAACAGGTAGTTCAGGGTCTTTTTTTGCGAGCAGAACATAGATGTTCTGCAAAGCTGTCACCAAGTCTACGCTTCGTTTCTCCAATGTAGAGGAGACCACATTGTGAGCAGCAAATGCAGTAGAGTAGATTCTGGGAAGTGCAGGTGAAGTGTTGCTTCAACTAGAAGGTATGTTTGGGCCCTTGGATACTGGGGAGGTAAATGGGCAGGTGTTGCGCCTTCTCCAGTTGCAGGGGAAGGTGCCGTAGGGCTGTGGGGAAGTGTTGGGAGTGAAGGAAGTGTGGACCAGGGTGTCCTGGAGGGAACGGTCCCTGTGGAAGGCGGACAAGGGGAGGGGAGGGGAATATGTGTTCGGTGGTGGCATCTCGCTGGAGGTGGTGGAAATAGTACTTTGACATCTACTGTAAGTCCAAGTAGATGTTAAAAGCAGAATAATAGTCAACAGTGGCTGAAAGCAGTAATATGAAAAACACACAGGCACTGGGCAGGAAGAGGACTGTTGAAATCGGTGCTGAGTTCAAAAGGCTGAAGTGCCCAAGTAGAAAATGAGGTGTTGTTTCTCCAGCTGGAATTGGGCTACAGGTTGAAGGCTGTTGTGAGGTTATGCTTCTGTGTGAGACCTTTTGAGTATCCCAATGGAGCAGGCATTCTTAAAGTGTAAATTTGAGTTGGTGATTATTGATGGGTTTTAGAAGTCGTTCTTTTTGTCCTTTTGGAAGGGCAGGCAATCTGTGATGAGATCCCCCTTCCTAGTCCAGGTCCTGCAAACGTGAGTATGCTGTGGTATTTCAGTGAATTCAACAGAGCATGGAATCAAACTGGGAATCCTATATTATGCATGGCTTGGGAGCTAATCAGGAGCTAAAGAGTGACTTCATTGAGTAACAGGCAGGTTATTTGTATCCATTTAAATAAGTGATCTGGCCTTTGTTTCTTTCAGAGTCTAGAAACGGTGAGATGGCTGAGCCTGAAGTAAATGAGATCATAACAGCCAGTATGTTGGAAGAGGAAAGGCAACTGGAGAAAGAAGGACAGGAGGAGGAGAGAAAGCTGATGCAGCAGGTTTGTTTAAGTTATAGTAGTCTGCAGCAGTAGTTGCTGTAACAAAGCCGTATAGAATCCATAGTCTTGCAACACAGGCCTTTTCAACCCAAAAGGTCTATGCTGGTATTTATGCTGCACACAGGACTGTTCTCTTTAATCCCATTCCATCCTATAATGTAACTGCTGTGTTTGGGATTGAGGATTGACATCAAAGAGTGTATTTTGTGATATTGGAAGTTCAGAAATGTAGAGGAAGTAGGCTTTCTTTCCTTTGACTGTAAAATGAAATGTTTATAATTATAAGTGAAACTAGGAAATTAATAAGGGATGTTGGCATAATTTTCTTTCCAGCATTGAAAATATTTATGTATTAACCATTGTGAGATGCCAGCATTTACTTTCCTTCAACTGGTGCGTAAGTACTCCTAGGGAAGTTTGGTAACAAAGACTAAGTATTCTGGGGACTTGTTCATTATAAAGAGTGGTTCAGTAGCACCACCGCTGACCAAGCTGGCTGAGTCTTTAAAGGACTGGAGATGAGAGAATCAATGGGAAAAACCTATTAACCATCACTAATCTATCTAACACCGGTGCATCTGTCCACAGCCATTTTGGTAGGTGTAACTATCACATAGTCCTGTTGAAGTCAAAAGCCTGAGGGTATGATCTGTTATGTGGTGTGGCGCTACCACCATGCTAACTGGGACAGGTTCAGCACAGACCTGGGAATCCACGAGACCCTGCAGAGCAGCAGATGAATTGCATTTCACTGCAGTCTGTATCCTCATGGCTGTTCGTATATCTCACTATACCTTTACAGTCAAGCCAGAGGATTAACCCTAGTTTTAGTGAAGAGTGCAGGAAGGCATGCTAGCACCGGGCATATAAAGAAAGGTACCAATTAAGTTATGACACAGGACTAGCATCTATGCCAAACTATAGAAGACCAAGTGACTTTACAGGCAGTAGATTGGATCAAAGTACTCTAGTCCTGGCAATTATTCTGAATAGTGATAGATAATTAAACCGCTGAATAGAGGTCCAGACTTCATGGACACCCCATCTTCAAGTAATGGTGGAACCCAGATGGCAGTGCAAAAGTTTGTCTGACGATCATCAGTTAGAAATGCCAAGTGGGATGATCCTTCTCCTAAGTTCCCATTTCGTAGATGCCAATCTTTAGACAGTTCATTTTTGCTTCCTGTGATATCAAGAAGTGAAGGCAATGAAGACTGCAAAGGCTATGGGCCCTGACCACATCTTTGATTTTAAATTGTTAAGTAGCCTTGGGTTGGCTTGGTGAGAATAAAATTATCATTTACAGGACGTGAGAAACTAGAAATGAATTGCTATATTGATTAGTAGTTGAAATATCTTAAGTGATGCAATTTCTTTTCTAGGCCAAAATGTTCTGGGAAAAGGACTCGCGTGAAATGCGTTATAAGCGATTACAACACTTACTGGAGAAGAGTAACATCTATTCGAAGTTCTTGTTGACAAAGATGGAGCAACAGCAGCTGGAGGTAGCTTCTGTGTTTATATTGTCACCAAAAAGGAGATAAATGATATGGCAGACAGGGTATTATCTAGAACTGGTCAATCCAGGATGAATAGTGAAAATTGTAATCAACAATCCAATGTGTTTATTTCCATGTCATAGCCTGGCAGGCCTGATATATTTCTGGCTTTTGTTTTGTTTTCAAATACCCTTGGAAGTTGCTACCCTCTCCCTCCCTCCCTTTCAGGAGATTAAATGATAGTTAGAGTCCATGTCAGAGGAGAGTAGCTGGAAGGTGATGAAATGGATTGCTTAAGGTCCATGATCTGGTAGGGGCTGCATAAATTATGGTGGCACGTGATTAATCAGCCACACAATCTATTCTTGATCTGTGTTCTCCTAAACTGAATTCTGTATTCATTCCCTGTTACCTGCCACATAACTACTCCAGCTTTCAAATTGAAACTTGGAAGATTTTTCTGCATCAGGTTTGAAAGTCTAGGACTACAGTTTTTGTTTTAATGGTTTGTCTATCGATCTGAATGATCATGTAGTAATGATTTTGCTGTAATTTAGTCTTCGTGGAATAAAGATGTCTTGGAGTCATTCACACCAGTTCTCTGCTGAGTTAGGTGAGACAGTTGGTTCTATATCCTTGTATATGCAGGGCAATAATCAGCTGGCCCTCCTGTTTCAGATCATTGCTTAAGTGTAGGGAATGGTCTGACAGCCAAATTCAGTCCTGGACTGTTGGACTCTTGGCCACTTACTGGTTAACTGTGAGCAGGAGACTGACTTCAGGACAGGATAAAGAAAAGATAGGATTTTTTTTTTTCCCTCTCCTTTCCAAAGGACCAATTGCTGAAATCTCACTCTGGATGGAAGAGTGGATTTGTCTCTGATTTTAGTTTCCTTAAAATTCTGCTTGAATTTTAAAGATAACATACCTTTGATGCACTGGATTACTAAAGAACTGATGTCTTTGTTTCTAACAGGAGCAGCAAAGAAAAGCAAAACTCGAAAAAAAGAGAAAACTATTGGCTTCAACTCAAGTGGTAATGAATTGAAAGCTTTGTTGGGAATTATTTGTAGTTGTGTGCTTATGGACAGGTTCTTGTAAATATGTACTGTCATAGTTAAACTCTTAAGAAACAGTGCGTCAGATCTAAGGCATTTTTTTTTATTGATCAACTCCGCTTTTCCTCTATTCTTCAATCCTATTTCTTATCTGTAATCAATCTTGTTTCATTGGATTCCTTTCTTATTTTTTTTCTTTTAGAAGTGACCTCCATGGCAATTCCCCTAATTTCTTTTAACTTATTTTCTCCTGCCTCATTTCCTAATTATTAATGTGCATCTTTAGTGTTTGAACCCTTTTGTCACAAGGACAGTGTGTGGCTGGAGTTCTGCATGATGCAAAGAGAATTTGTTCAATTGTTGCAAGGTTAGGGGATGTTCCAGTTTTTCCTTTTTAAACTACTGGGTGAAATTTAACACTGAACTAGTGAGCTTTTAGGAAAGGTTGACCTGTTAATTAAATTTCCAGCATGAGATTTCTAGTGAGACCATGAATTTGATGCTCTACTTTGTGTCCAGGTGAAAGGGGACAACCAGCCAATACAAGAAACTGAAACAGGTATGGATTTGTTTTAAATGATCTTGTGAAATAACTTTGCCTGACAATCTATTTGGCATGATACTTTGGAATTAACCATCCAGGCACACTTCCCGCCTTTTGCATTCCAAGATACATTTTGCCCAGACATGATAGTGCAATTGGCCAAGTTTATGTCTCATTCTCATAAGGCTTCTGGATGGGATGACTACATTTCTTGACAAGATCCTAGAACTGCTCAGGATGTTGGCAGTTCCCCACATTCTTGGACCAATTGCAATCTGCTGAGGGCATATTAACAGTATGTAGGCTGGAACTCATTAGCATTTGTTAAGGCAGTGCTATTGAAGATCTGATCTCGTGCAAAGTTTAGTGAATGTTGGTGGTAAGACCTCATTGGTACCCAGAGAATAACAGCACCAATACAGTCACTTGCTGTATTTCTATTTGAAGGTGAAACTGCGTGTCCAACTTCTGTTTCTATTCACTCTATCACCTTTGAATTATAACCAACAAATTCATTCAGTATAAAAACAAACCATACTGGTGCACAGAGTCCTCTCCATCTGATTCCTCCAATCCTTCATCTCACTGCCAGCATAACCCACCTTTTTTTTTTCGCTGTGTTTATTTAGCTCCTCCTAAATGCATCAAATTATTTATGTCAACCACCAGTAAAAGGAAGTTCTGCATTCTTACTGCTGTCTCCATAAAGAAGCTTCTTTCCTGCCTTGAATTGAAGTGTGTAAGGAGGCCAATGTGGAACTTCAAAAGGCCATTGGCTAGTTGGTGGAATAGGTGGGATAGCTGACAGATGAGGTTTAATGCAGAGAGATGGAAGATGATGCCTTTTGATATGAAGAGCTTGAAAGACACTATATAAAATAGGGGGTACAATTCTAAAGTGGGTGCAGGAGCAGAGGGACCTGGGTGTATATGTGCACAGATCATTGAAGGTGGTGGGACAAATGGAGAGAATTGTTAAAGTGTACAATGTTTTCAGCTTTATTCAAAGGGGAGTGGAACAAGTGCAGGGAGGTGGTGTTGAATTTCTAAAGATATTCATTACACCTCAGCTGGAGTATTGTGCACAGTTGTAGGTGTCACATTATAGGAAAAATGGGAATGCATTGGAGTGTAGAAATGCTCTACGAAAATGGTTCCAGGGCAAGAAACTTCAGTTACGAAGATAGATTGAAGAAGTTAGCACTGTTCTGGGAGACAAGGCCGGGAGGAGATGTGATAGAGGATTTCAAAATCATGCTCATGCTGAATAGTGTAAAGAGGGAGAACTTGTTATCACTAGTTTCTTCTTTTTTAGAAAAAGAAGGTAATGTTTTAAAGTGATGTGCAAATGAAGCAAGGGTGTTGTGAGGAAAACAAAACATCTTCACATTGCAAGTAGTTAAGCATCTGGAATGACTGCCTAGAAATGCAGCTTCAATTGAGGCATTAAGAGGGAACCAAATGATTATTTGGATGGGAATGGAATGCATGGATATGGGAGTAAGGCAGCAGATGGCACAGTGAACCAAATGGCCGCCTGCACCATAATCATTTTGTGAAATAGATTTAGCTTGTTGTATCCAAGCTTTCCATAATTTTAAAGCTTTAGGTTTGGTGTCAGCCAGCCCTTTTTTAGAAGAGACTAGATCTGTTCACTCTTACTTGAAATAAATGTGTTCTATT